AATAGATCATTGAACTCCTGGGATCCTTTTGATTTCATAGGGAACCCATCAGAATCAGAAGGGGAAAAAAAAAACAAAAAAACTTATAGGGGTTTTGGTGAAAGGACAAAAAATCTCCAGAAATGTGCTGTGGCCTGCTCCCTCACTGCTCTCAGGAGTACCTCAATCAACATGGTTCTTACCCCATGGTTCTGCCTAATGTCAATGCTTCCAAATTGGTCTCTAACCCTGGCCCAATCGATCACCCACTATACAGTGACTAAAAGTATCTTCCTGAGCATAACTTTAATGAGAATCAATACTGAAGGCTGGGCAGAGTGGCTGAATGTCTGTAATCCCAGCACTTTGGGAGGCTGAGACAGGCAGATAGCTTGAGTCCAGGAGTGTGAGACCAGCCAGGGTAACATGGCAAAACCCCTTCTCTACAAAAAATACAAAGAGAACCAACATTGGTGGTACTACTGATAAGTGCTATATTGCAGGCACTGTGCTACGTGTTTAATATGTTTAATATGCGTAATTTTATTTAATCCTCGCTACAACTCTATGAGGGAGGTGAACTTGAATTCTAGAGCCAGACTAACTAAACCTCAAACCCAGCACAGTTGCTCATTAGTTGTGTGACTTTCAGCAAATTTCTCAAATTCTTTGTGCCTCAGTTTCTTTTCCTTTTCTTCGTTTTTTTTCTTTTTTGTGCCTCAGTTTCTTCATCTGCAAGAGTACCTCCCAGATAGGGTTACTGTGAGGATTGAAGGAATTAATATGTCAAGTGCTTGGAATAGTGGCTGGCACATAATGAGCTATAGAGTTAGCTATTACTGCTTTCCAGATAAGGAAATCAAGGCTCAGTTATCCAATGCCATATGTCTAATAAGTGGTGAAGCAGGGTCCAAATCCAGGTTTGCCTAACTCAAAAGCCCAGGCTTATAACCACTGTACATCACTGTCCTTCAGCTGCCCAACTGATCTTGGACATTCACAGCAATATGTACTAAAGGGCACAAGGCCCAAAGCCATGCAGCCCTGGCAATCCCAGTCATCTGCAAGCCACCCATGGCCACCAGAAAAATCCTCTTCCCCAAATCTACAAGCTCCTAGCATTCAGGATTCCCACATATGGCACCTCCATATACTTTTCCAGCGTCATCTCTCTCTCTCTCTTTTATTTTTTTTTTTTTTGGGCTCTTTCCCTACCCCCTCCAGCCTCATCTCTCAATCCTGATAAGCATACAGTCTTCCTCCAAGCCAGAGGCTAGGACTATTGCAAGTCTCCTAATTTATATGCCCATTTCCAGCCTTGACACCCTCCAATCTGCATTCCATGCAGTGCCCAGAATCATTATTTATTTATTTATTTATTTATTTTCAGAATCATAATTTAAAAATTCAAATTTAGGCTGGGTGCAGTGGCTCATACCTGTTATCCCAGCACTTTGGGAGGCCAAGGCGGGCAGATCACTTGAGGTCAGGAGTTTGAGACCAGCCTGGCCAACATGGTGAAACCCTGTCTCTACTAAAAATACAAAAATTTGGCCAGGCACGGTGGTTCACACCTGTAATCCCAGCAATTTGGGAGGTCAAGGTGAGTGGATCACCTGAGGTCAGGAGTTCAAGACCAGCCTGGCCAACATAGTGAAACCCTATCTCTACTAAAAATAAAAAAATTAGTTGGGCATGGTGGTAGACACCTGTAATCCCAGCTACTTGGAAGGCTGAGGCAGGAGAATCACTTGAACCCAGGAGGTGGAGGTTGCAGTGAGCCAAGATCACGTCATTGCATTCCAGCCTAGGCAACAGGGCGAGACTCCATCTCAAAAAAAGAAAAAAAAAAAAAAATTAGGGCCGGGCGCGGTGGCTCACGCCTGTAATCCCAGCACTTTGGGAGGCCGAGGCGGGTGGATCACGAGGTCAAGAGATCGAGACCATCCTGGTCAACATGGTGAAACCCCGTCTCTACTAAAAATACAAAAAAAATCAGCTGGGCATGGTGGCACGTGTCTGTAATCCCAGCTACTCAGGAGGCTGAGGCAGGAGAATTGCCTGAACCCAGGAGGCGGAGGCTGCGGTGAGCCGAGATCGTGCCATTGCACTCCAGCCTGGGTAACAAGAGCGAAACTCCGTCTCAAAAAAAAAAAAAAAAAAAAAAATTAGCCAGGCATGGTGGTGGGCGCCTGCAGTCCCAGCTACTCTGAAGGTTGAGGCAGGAGAATCATTTGAACCCAGGAGGCAGAGTTTGCAGTGAGCCGAGATCATCCCCCTGCACTCCAGCCTGGCTGACAGAGCAAAACTCTATCTCAAAAAAAAAAAAAAATCAAATTTAAGCCATGCTATTCCCTAGCTTAAAACGTTTTGTAGGTTCCTCTTCCTCTTAAAGTATCCAAAATTCCACAGGGCCTATAAGACCTTCATAATCAGGCTCCTGCCTGCTTCTATAGCCTCATGTTTGGCCTCTCAAGCATGATCCCTGATCCCCACCTCCATGCCACCAGCTTTAATTCCTACTTTTCACATCTTAGCTTAAATTTCACTTCCTCAGAAAAGACAAGGTTAGATTTCCTTAGGAGACCTTAGGCCAGGTGTGGTGGCTCACACCTATAATCCCAGCACTTTGGGAGGCTGAGGCAGGTGGATCATGATGTCAGGAGTTTGACACTAGCCTAGCCAACACAGTGAAAACCTGTCTCTTCTAAAAATACAAAAAATTAGCCGTCTCTTCTAAAAAACCTCGTCTCTTCTAAAAATACAAAAAATTACAAGCGGGCACCTGTACTCCCAGCTACTAGGGAGGCCAAGGCAGAAGAATCAGTTGAACCCGGGAGGCAGAGGCTACAGTGAGCCGAGATCGCACCATTGTACTCCAGCCCAGGTGACAGAGCAAGACTCCATCTCAAAAAAAAAAAAAAAAAAAAAAAAAAAAACTGCGAAAAAAAGACCTCAGCATCTTGTATTTTTCCTCTATGGCACTTATCACCATTATAGTTTTGATGGTGTTTTTTTGGTTTTGTCTTTTTTCTTTTTTTTTTGGATACACGGTCTCGCTGTGTCACCCAGGCTGGAGTGGAGTGGCGCAATATTGGCTCAATATGGCCACGATCTCCCAGGTTCAAGCAATCCTCCTGCCTCAGCCTCCTGCGTAGCTGGGACTTCAGGCACCCACCAACACACTCAGCTAATTTTTGTATTTTTCTGTAGAGACAGGGTCTCATTATGTTTCCCAGGCTGGTCTTGAACTCCTGAGCTCAATTATCTTCCTGCCTCGGCCTTTCACAGAGCATGGATTACAGGCATGAGTTGCCATGCCCAGTTGACAATTACAGTGTTTTATTTTTTTTGAGATGGAGTCTTGCTCTGTCACCCAGGCTAGAGTGCAGTGGCGCGATCTCAGTTTCTGTCTCCTGGGTTCAAGCAATTTTCCTGCCCCAGTTTCCTGAGTAGCTGGGACTACAGGTGTGAGTCACCACGCCTGGCTAATTTTTGTATTTTTAGTGCTGGGAAAAGTGCTGGGATTACGGGTGTGAGCCACCGTGCCGAGCCAATTATAGTTTATTAATAGCTGTCTTCCTAACTAAACTGGAAGCTCTACGAGGGCTTGTGCTTCCAGGCACTTAAATGTTGAGCATTTGGTAGACAGTATTTTTAAATAAATCAATCAGTCAGGCCGGACACAGTGACTCACACCTATAATCCCAGCACTTTGGGAGACCAAGGCGGGCAGATCATGAGGTCAGGAGTTTGAGACCAGGCTGGCCAGCATGGTGAAACCCCATCTCTACTAAAGACACAAAAAATTAGCCAGGCATGGTGGTGCATGCCTGTAATCCCAGCTACTCGGGAGGCTGAGGCAGAAGAATCGCTCGAACTCAGGAGGCAGAGGTTGCAGTGAGCCGAGATCACGCCATTGCACTTCAGCCTGGGTGACAGGGCAAGACTCTGGCTCAAAAAAACAAAAAATCAATCAGTCTTTCAAAAATCAATTCCCATACCCTACAACTAACATTGAGCACTCCTTAATTGTTAAGCCACAATTCAGCATTTGATTCTGGAGTCCTTTCTCACTCAACTTCATATAAATTAGCATTGGATCAAGAAACTGGAAGTTCTCCTTTCTTTTTCCCAGTCTAGTACCAGCTTTGTGCCCCTAGGCCAGCCCTATTTCCTAGGAAAGTCCCATTACCTCTTTGCTACCATGAAGTTACTTTTCCTATTCACTTTGATGGGTGGCTGTGAGGGGAAAATGAGAAGATGCTGTGAATGACACATATTTCAACTAGAGAGCGTCTAGAGAGTGCTCATGTAAAAGGTGGCTGTTTTCTACCAGAGACGTAGAGCAGAGTGGGTTCCGGGTCTAAATACTATCCACACCTCTTGCCATCTGAGGGACCTAAAGCAAGGAAGAATCTTAACTTCTCTGTACCTCAATTTCCCCAAGTGTAAAAGAGGAACAGTAATATTACCTACTTCATAAGGCTGTTGACAGAACAAAAAGAGATAACATATGTATAGCACCTCAAAAAATGCCTAGCCTGTATAAACATGCCGTAAGTATTAGCAATACTATGGTCTTTATTACAGAGGGTACATGCTGGCTCTCATCATATCCACGTCCAGCCTGCACTCAGGCTGCTCCAGTCATGGCTCCAGATCCTACCTGGCAGGAGGGAAGCGACTGACATCCCCTTTGGCAAAAGTGAAGCATCGAAGGTTTGGACTGCAGGCCCAAGAAGGAAGGGATGGGGCTGTAGATTGGCTACCCTCAGACTGCAGTTCCCAGTGGGAGATGGCTTCCTTCACAAAGTCCTTGGCATTCAGCTGCTCCAGCTTAGCACTCACATGATCCCAGGCAGCAAAGTTATTGACCAGTGCACCATACTTCTGCTCTGAGAGGAGACTGACACGGATTGATGGCCAAAGATCTCCAAACTGCACACTGTAAGTCATGTCAAAATTCTGCAGAGCCAGTCGAACGGCAGGGAATTTGGGCTCTGTGGCAGCCTAAAAGAGAAAGGACAGGCTTATTGGTTTTCCCAGTCTTGCCTCTACTCCCTACTACCTGACCCCACCTCAGAGCCAAGGGGCAAACTTGGATCCAACTAGTGCCTACTCCTGCTTTTGCATCCTGCCTGCCTGCCAGAGAAGTGTGAGAGAGAAAAGTAATGGAGGGCAGGTCCTCCCATCCCAGGGTTGTCAGATAAAGATGTAACTCTCACAGTGCTGTGCAGGGGTCATCAAGAAGGGGGACCTTGGAGTAAGAGGAACTTAGGAGAATGGCAGCTTAGGAGAGGACTCTTGAGGAGAGCTTGCAGAAGGTTAGGAGAAACTATGGAGGCTCTGGGAAGCTTTGAGCTTAAAAGCAAAAGGCCCTTTTCCTCTGAACAGTCCTTTTATGTTCCAAAGCACTTTCACGTCTACTAGATTATGTGAGCACTATAACTGATAGCTCCGTATGATACCAAAAAAATTAACAACCTTTCAATTTGATGGAGAGATGTGGGTAACTTACCTACCGTTATGCAGTGACTAGCACCACAATGCTCAGAATCAGAGGGTTGAGGGCCATGTTGGGAGAGTTCCCAGACCCCAGAAAGGTAGCATAAGGAGGGCCCACAGAATCTTGAGGTGTGAACTAAAACAGGGACTTGTAGGATGACTGCTACGAGGGTAGCAGAGAAGGACAAGAGCATAAGAGCAAGGAGGTGGAGTAAAAGAGAAATGAAGACTTCAGATGGGGAGTCCACAAGTTGGTCCTGGTTGCTGCAGCTGGGATGCTTGCTATTGCTGGCAATCTTGTTACTATCTATGCCTTGCTCTGGCCTAGATTTCTGGTCTGGTCAGAACTTTTGCTCTGGCCCTCATTTCTTGTTATGGTGAGTACTCTTGCTCTGACTATGACTTTTGCCCCTGCTGGGACTCTTGCTTTGGCTCCTGCTATGTTGGGGACTCTTGCTCTGGCCTTGACTTTTGCCACGTTGGGTACTCTTGCTCCGGTTCCGACTTCTGCCATGGTGGAGACTCTTGCTCTTGCCCTGACCTCTGCTAATTTGGGGACTCTCATCCTGGTGCTCATTTATGCTAAGGTGGGGACTCTCACTCTGGCCCTGACTTGTGTTTTGTTGAGGACTACTGCTCCCGCTCCGGCTTCTGCTAGGATAGGGACTCCTTTTCTGGCTCGGACTTCTGCTCAAATGATGGCTCTTGCTCCGGCTCTGACTTGTGCCATGATGGGGACTCTTGCTTTGGCTCTGAATTTGGCTTTGGTAGGAACTCCTGCTCTGGCTGTCACTACTCTGGCATTCGCTAATAACAGTCGAACTACAGCTGGGATTAGTGCTACAGCTGGAATCCTTGGATGAAGGCAAAGGGCAGCTGTAGGGGATCTGCAGGGGCTCTTTGCAAGGACCTTGAGGGGCCACAGGGTAGATATGGAGGCCACAAGGGACAGTGTCAGGGTAGGCCCGGACTCGGGGGAAAATGGGTAAACTTTGAGGATCAAAGGATGTTCTCAAAGGGATAAAAGAATAGATGTGAGTAGAACAAGGAGGTACCACAGGCTGGCAACGAGGTTGGGGTGGGCCCCTGGGAGTGCTATAGGTGTCACACAGGGGCACAATGGGAGGGGGGCCTGTCGAGTGATTGAGGGAACCAGAGAGTGGGCAGGGATGGGTAGGGGAGGGAACCACAGAGTATATATGGGTTTTGCAGGGGGGCCCATGGGGGCTGCTCTGAGCATAACCATTGGACGAGACAGGATCACAAGGAAGGCAGAAGGGAAGAGAACTGGGGCTAACAGTTTTGAGGGTTCTAGGGACCACAGTTGGTAAGGCAGTCCCTGGGGGAAGTTCTTTGGGGCTGGAATTTGAAGGAGTTGTGATGGATGGCTCCATACAAGAAAGACCAGAGAGGTGGGAGGGAGGTGGGGGAGAGGTGCTGGCCTTGGCAGGCTTGGGCTGGCCAGAAGGGGTGTGTTGGGGAGTGCTGACTAGGGAGTGACACCTGTGGGGAGTATGTGACTGTCTTAACTCTGAGGATTTAGGGGACTTCTCTTGGGGGGAAACTGGGGTGGGAAGAGGGGGTTCATTGTAGCTTCTGTGGGGGAGTGGCTGGGGTGGAGATATAAACTGGTTGCCCGGGGGTGAAGGGAAGGAGGAAAGGCCAGAATGAGGACAGTGGGGAAGAGATGGTTCCTGGGAACAGGGGGGACCAGAAATTGTGGTGTCCGGGGTGAGGATGAGGTAAGAGTTCCCACCTGTCTCCCAGGAGAGAAGGGACTCAAAGCAAGCCTTCCTGGGAGCCTGGAACTGGGGTGAGCAAGGAGAATCAGTACTCCCAAAGCGCAGGCGTGTGGCACAGCAAGGACTCCCAGGAGTAGGCACATAGGCCTCTGAGGAAAGATGGGAATAATGATAAGAGCCCTCCCGAGGTGAGCTGGGAGAGCCAGGCATGCCTGCCTGAGAAGAGAGTGGCGAGCCACAATTTTTCTCAAGGGGCAGGTCAAGCTGTGGTTTGGGTTCACAAGAGTCTGGAGGCTTAGAGCTGCCACAGTAAAAGTTGCCAGTAGGTGGGGAAGATGCTGGGGAAAGAAGGGGGTCATTATAACTTCTCCCTGAGGACCAGTGAGAGGGCAGAGAGATCATCAGCCCAGTTTCCAAAACTCTGTGAGAAAGGGTTGGGGAGGCCACAGGACTAGTTTCCACTGGTCGGCGAGCAAGGGGAGGTGAAATCTTGAGGCAAGTTCCCCGGGTCCTATGAGTAGGAGGAGGCGAAATCATGAGTCCAGTTTCCAAGGGTACATGAGTGAGTTGAGGGGAGGTCAATGGGCTCCTTCCCGGGGACCGCTCAGCAAGGGGAGAGGAGATTGCGGGGCTGGTTCCAAAAGCCGAAGGGCATCCGCTATAGTAACAGAGGTTAGTGTTCTGGTCAAAGTTCGTGCCTTGAAGACAGGGACGCCGCATTCTCGATGGACTGATCCAGGTGCAATAAGGGGTCCGCTGACAGACAGGAGGTGACCCCGTTATGCTGAACTGCTCAAAATAGGGGCTGGAAGGTGGGGAATCCGAGTGGCAGGGCTCGCGGCAGTAGGTCCTTTCCAGGAGTGGGGAAGAGGACTCAAAATAACATCTCCCTGAGTGCGAGGGAGGTTGTGGCTGTGAAAGATGAGACCGTGGAGGCGGAGAGGGAATCAGCTGGGGTGGGCAGGGGGGCGTGTCGATCGTAGAAGAAATTCCAGGGCTGCCAGTGAGGCAAGAAAAAGGGTCTCTGGAGAAGCAGGGAGATTCCAGGGGATGAGAGGATTCGTTGCACCTTTTGCCTGCGTTTGGGGAAAGGCCGGCAGTGTGGACAGGATGGTCGCTGTAACCTTTCCCAGTCGCCAGAGGCAGCTCGAGGTTGAGGAAGGGGCTGAATCCCTTCCTGCAGGGCGGCGGAGACCCAGGAGGGAAGGGGAGGTCGCTATGGTATTTTCCGAGGGGTGAGGGCGACCCAGCTGGAAGATCAATGAGGAAAGGAGGAGAAGTCATGTGGGGGAAGAACGAATGGGCAAGGGAAAGGAGGGGGAGAGGGAAGGGAAAGAGGGAGGGAGGGAAGTAAAAGGGGGTGGTGGGGGACAGAAAGGTAGGTGGACACAGCTGAGGAACAAGAGGCGGTGACATCACTAAAATAATGAAGGCAGAGGTGATGACGCCACTTAGAGGGGCAGAGACAGGAGGCTGCGGACGTAACAAGTGGAATAGATGAAGGTTCGAGACAAAAAAGGGGTGTGGACAGAGGCTGTGACGGAACAGAAGTGAAAGGGAGGTGCCAGGGACGCTCCGTGAAGTAGTTAGGAAAGAGGCCTAGGCGTTCTAGAGGGCCGGGAAATGAAAGGACTGAAGTCTCCGCCTCACTGTTCCCTCCTGCGCCCACAGCTGGACCTTACCCATTTCTTCTTATGTCGATGTCTCCGCGGGACCGTCGCGAAGTCCACACGCTTCAGCAGTTCCCGGACACTCCTCAGTGTCAGCGCAGCCATGTCGGCGTGCGCCGCTGGGTAATTCCGACCGGAACCGGTGTGGGAGACCCGCGTGTTCCGGGGAGGTAGTGAGCGCCCCCCGGCGGGACTGAAACGAGAAAAGAGGAGGGAATTACATCCGACGCTCTCCCAGGACTCCGCGCGCTCCTACAGACTCCGCCCCTCCAGGGATCCCTTGAAGGCTGCTGGAGAAAGAGCAACCTGGCACCCGCAATGATAACTCTGCCTGGGTGCTTAGAGCAGTGCAAGGGACTCCGAAGAAGACCCTAGCCCACTTGGGGGATCAGGGAGGATTAGGAGCAGATGATTGAGTACCGAAAGAGTTAGCTAGGCGAAAAGGGGCGGGAACGGCCTCCTAGGCCAAAATTGTATGGAGAAAGATCCTTAGGTAGAGGAAAATGAGACCAGACTGAAGGCAGAAGCAGATTTGCAGTGAAACGAAAGAAGCTTAAGTTTCAGGACCTATCGTTTGCATGCCCCCTTTCAAGGACCTGTACCTACTTTTTTTTTTTTTTTCTTGAAACGAAGTCTTGCTCTGTTGCCCAGGCTGGGGTGCAGTGACACGATCACAGCTCACTGCAACCTTCGCCTCCTGGGTTCAAGCGATTCTCCTGCTTTAGTCTCCCAAGGAGCTGGGATTACAGGTGCGCACCACAACACCCACTAATTTTTGTATTTTCAGTAGAGACAGGGGTTTCACCATGTTCGCCAGGTTGGTCTCGAACTCCTGACCTCAAGTAATCCACCCACCTCAGCCTCCCAAAGTGCTGGGATTACAGGCATGAGCCGTACCCTGCTGAAATTTTGTATTATTTTTCTTAAATATACCCTCTCAAATTGTGGAAGCCCCACAACACTTGACATCACCAGTACGGATCCAGTGGAGAGGAGGGACATGATCAGAAACTGATTTTTGTTGTTGTTGTTTCTTCTTTGAAACAGAGACTCCCTCTGTCGCCCAGGCCGTAGTACAGTGGTGCGATCTCTGCTCACTGCAACATCCACCTCCTGGGTTCAAACTATTCTCTTGCCTCAGCCTCCCAAGTAGCTGGGACTACAAGCATGTGCCACCTCGCTCAGCTAATTTTTGTATTTCTACTATAGATAGGGTTTCATCATATTGGTCAGACTGGTCTTGAACTCCTGACCTCGTGATCTGCCCACCTCGGCCTCCCAAAGTGCTGGGATTACTAGTGTGAGCCACTGCGCCCAGCCCAGAAACTGTTTTTTTAAATGATCATTAAACAATAGATTATCAGAGTGGGTAGGAGTGAGGCAGGGAGATCAGAAGGCAGAGAGATTGGCTGGGATTACAGGTGTTACCAGAAAGGAGTCCTGATCCAGACCCCAAGAGAGGGTTCTTGGATCTCGACCAAGAAAGAATTTAGGGTGAGTCCCAATGCAAAGTGAAAGCAAGTTTATTAAGAAAGTAAAACAATAGCCCAGGCCACTGCACTCCAGCCTGGGCAACAGACTGAGACTTCATCAAAAAAAAGAAAGAAAGAAAGAGAGAAAGAGAGAGAGAGAAAGAGAAAGCGAGAGAGAGAGAGAAAGAGAAAGAGAGAGAGAGAAAGAGAGAAAGAAAGAGAGAGAGAGAGAAAGAAAGGAAAAGAAAGAAAGTAAAAGAATAAAAGAATGGCTATTCCATAGATAGACCAGCCCCAAGGGCTGCTCGTTGCCAATTTTATGGTTATTTATTGATGATATGCTAAACAAGGGGTGGGTTATTTGTGCCTCCCCTTTTTAGACCACATAGTGTAACTTCCTAACATTGCCATGGCATTTGTAAACTGTCATGGTGCTGGTGGTAGTATAGCTGTGAGGATAACGAGAGGGTGCTCTTGTCACCGTTTGGTTTTGGTGGGTTTTGGCAGGCTCCTTTACTGCAACCTGTTGTATCAGCAAGGTCTTTATGAGCTTTATTTTGTGCAGACCTATCTCATCCTGTGACAGAATGGCTTAACTGTCTGGGGATGCAGCCCAATAGGTTTCAGCCTCATTTTACCCAGCTCCTATTTAAGATGTAGTTGCTGTGGTTCACATGCCTCTGAGAGTGAGCCGCTGCCCCTGGCTGAAAGCTTAAATTTTCTTATTGGCAACAAATACTGTCAGTTATTTTCCTTGAAGTGACAGGCTCACTTTGTTCATTTTTCAAGAAAAATGCTGGCTGGTCTGGTGGTTTATGCCTGTAATCCTGGCGCTTTGGGAGGCCGAGGCAGGCAGATCGCCTGAGGTCAGGAGTTGGGTACAGGCCTGGCCAACATGGCAAAACCCCATCTCTACTAAAAATACAAAAATTAGTTGGGCATGGTGGCACATGCCTGTAATCCCAGCTACTCGGGAGGCTGAGGCAGGAGAATTGCTTGAACCCGGGAGGCAGAGTTTGCAGTGAGCTGAGATTGCACCATTGTACCCCAGCCTGGGTAACAAGAGCAAAACTCCGTCTCAAAAAAAAAAGAAAAAAGAAAAAGAAGAATGCTAATATTAAAATATAATTGATTGAAACTCCATCTCAAAAAAAAATAGAAAAGGCCGGGCGCGGTGGCTCACGAGGTCAAGAGATCGAGACCATCCTGGTCAACACGGTGAAACCCCGTCTCTACTAAAAATACAAAAATTAGCTGGGCATGGTGGCGCATGCCTGTAGTCCCAGCTACTCGGGAGGCTGAGGCAGGAGAATCGCTTGAACCCAGGAGGCAGAGGTTGCAGTGAGCCGAGATCGTGCCATTGCACTCCAGCCTGGGTAACAGGAGCGAAACTCTCAAAAAAAAAAAAAAAAATAGAAGAAAGCATTCAGTATTTCACCATTACATATGTTGTTAACTGTAGGTTTGTGTGTGTGTGTGTGCGTGCATGTGTATAGATGTCCTTTACTAGGTTTAGGAAGTTCCTGCTATTTCTATTTTGCTGATATTTTTAAAAAATCATGATAGTTGTTGATTTTCTTGGTTTTTTTTTTTTTTTTTTTTAAGATGGTCATCCTTTTTTTCTTTTTTTTTTTTTTTTTTTTTTGAGATGGAGTTTTGGTCTGTTGCCCAGGCTGGAGTGCAGTGGTGCAATCTTGACTCCCTGCAACCTCCACCTATCAAGTTCAAGCAATTCTCCTGCCTCAGCCTCCTGAGTAGCTGGTATCACAGCCATGCACCACCACACCTGGCTAATTTTTTGCATTTTTAGTAGAGACAGGGTTTCACCATATTGGCCAGCCTGGTCTTGAACTCCTGACCTCAAGGGATCTGCCTGCCTCAGCCTCCCAAAGTTCTGGGATTACAGGTGTGAGCCACTGAGCCTGGCCAGTTTTACTTCTTTATTTCATTACTATGATGAATCATATTGGCTGACTTTTCAATATGAACCAACTTTGTATTCTTTTTTTTTTTGAGACGGAGTTTCACTCTTGTTGCCCAGGCTGGAGGGCAATGGCAGGATCTCGGCTCACCGCAACCTCTACCTCCAGGATTCAAGCGATTCTCCTGCCTGAGCCTCCCAACTAGCTGGGATTACAGGCATGCAGCACAATGCCCAGCTAATTTTGTATTTTTAGTAGAGACAGTGTTCTCCATATTGGTCAGGCTGGTCTCAAATTCCCAACCTCAGGTGATCTGCCCATCTTGGCCTTGGAAAGTGCTGTGATTACAGGCATGAGCCACTATTCCCGGCCAACTTCTCAATTTCTTTAATTGATATAGGGCAGCAGTGATTTTACCCCTCCCTCAGGGGACATTTGGTAACATCTGGACATTTGGGGCTGTTATAACTAGAAGGCGATTCTGTCTGGCATCTAGGCAATAGAGGCCAGGGTTACTGCTCAGCACCCTACAATACACAGGGCAGCCCTCCCTCACATCAAAGAATTAGCCAACCCAAATATCAACAGCACTGAGGCTGAGAAACCCTAATATAGAGCTATTTGAATTTTCTAATTCTTCTTGCATTGGCTTTGACAATTTGAGTCTTTTTTTTTTTTTTTTTTTGAGACAGAGTACCACTCTTTCACCAGGTGCCAGGCTGGAGTGCAGTGGTGCGATTTCGGCTCACTGCAACCTCTGCCTCCCAGGTTCAAGTAGCTCTTCTGCCTCAGCCTCCCTAGGCTGGGACTACAGGTGCACACCACCACGCCCAGCTAATTTTTGTATTTTAGTGGAGACGGGGTTTCACTATGTTGGCCAGGATGGTCTCGATCTATTGACCTCGTGATCAGCCCGCCCCTGCCTCCCAAAGTGCTGGGATTATAGGCGTGAGCCACCACATCTGGCAATTTTAGTCTTTTAAAGAATGTGTTCAGGCCGGGCACGGTGACTCAGGCCTGTAATCCCAGCACTTTGGGAGGACGAGTTGTGCGGATCACCTAAAGTCAGGAGTTCAAGACCAGCCTGGCCAACATGGAGAAACCCCATCTCTAAAAAAAAAAAAAAAAAAAGAATGTGTTCATTTCATCTAAGGTGTTGTCTTCATGTAAAGCCTTTCAGAATATTCCATTATTATCCATTTAATGTCTATAGGAGGGGGCGGCAAACTGCAGCCACAGCCCAATTCAGCCTGCAGCCTGTTTTTGAAATATAAATACATAATGTTTGTGTCTCCTTTATCGCTGCAACAAAGTAGTTGCTCCACAGATCATGTGGCCCACAAAGCCAAACACCCTCCCTGAATCTTTACAGAAAAAGCTTGCTGACCTGTGGTTTATAGGATCCTTAGTGATGTCCCCTCTCTTATTACCGATATTGGCAATTTGTCTTCCTCTTTTATACCTTATCAGGCTAATGAGATGTTTATCCATTTTATTGAACTTTTCAAAGAACTAGCTTTTGGTTTTGTTGTTTTTCTCCTTTATTTTATATGGCATTGATTTCCACTCTTTA